AATTAAAATTATTATTATAACATAGTTTGGCCCAATTAAATAGAACCTAAAATTAGATAACATTTTAAAAACATTCACATGTTCATATGTTTAGCCCCGCCTGTTGGAACATCAGGGTTTTGAGGGCACGGCGGAAAGCACGGAGATCAGGGATATTTCGTATCTCAGGGGGCAGTTCATTCCAAAGGGTTGGAGCCCTCACAGAGAAGGCCCTCCCCCTGGGAGTCGCCAGTCGTCATAATTTGACTGACGGTACCCTGAGTAGTCCCTCCCTGTGAGAATGAACTGGTCGGTGGGAGGCTATTGGTGGCAAAAGACGGTCTTGTAGGTACCCAGGTCCTAAGTCATGGAGCGCTTTAAAGGTGATGACTAGCATCTTGAATCGCACCTGGAAGACCACTGGGAGCCAGTGTAGCTCGCGTAGGAGAGGTGTTACATGGGCGCAACAAGCTGCGCCCATAATCACCAGCGCGGCTACATTCTGGACCAGTTGGAGCTTCTGGGTATTTTTCAAGGGGAGCCCCATGTAGAGAGCATTACAGTAGTCCATACGGGAGGTGACTAAGGCATGAGTAACCATGCGCAAGGCATCCCGATCCAGAAAGGGACGCAACTGGCGGATCAGGCAAACCTGATAAAAGGCACCCCTGGCCACGGCCGTCAAATGATCTAAAGATAGCCGTGAATCCAGGAGGACACCCAAGTTGTGGGCCTCTCTGTGGGGTGGTGTTGATAAATTGATAAGTTGAGGCGGGACTTTGCTTGGCACCAAATTGTAACAGACAGTTGACAACTGATGATCAGGGCAAGAATTTGCAAAACATTGCATGTTAAGCTGAGCTTTTATCGCTAAATGCAAAAGACCAATAAACCTTAAGGGGGAAAATAGATTATTATTATTTTATCTACCAAAATTATATGGCCGTTCATGAAAAGTGGCTCTTTTGTACTTATTGTTTGGACTGCTGTTGCTGTTTTTCATGGGAATTTATGTAGATGTAAGAATTTTTTGGGGTAGCAAGAGAATTAGATTTAGGCTTATGTAAAATAGATTAAGTGCTTACCTTTGCAGACATCATCAAGAAATACAAACTGGGGGGGGGGGGTTCCCTTAGTCAACTGAAAAAAATGTAACTTCCTTGTTTTCTTGAGTTTCTAATGTGGAGCTTGGATATTTGCAAAACCAAAAGGAAATTACATCACAATCTGGGCTCAACACCCTCTTAAACAGGTACAAACAGAAAAGGTTGCTATAGAAATCTAAGTACCCATCACCTCTGCCTTTCAAAGCCAAACTTTTAATGTCCTGGCTTGTTCGCTTTCTCACTCAAGATGCGGTTTTCACTTTCATGTGTCTGCTTCCCGTTTTCAGAATGAAACCCTGACTTTTAGGACTACAATAAATGTTGGTTGCCCCCCCCCCCCAAAGGGTGCTATTCAGCAGGTTCTGGAGAACCGGTAGCGGAAATTTTAAGTAGTTTGGAGAACTGGCAAATACCACCTCTGGCTGGCCCCAGTGTGTGGTGGGAATGGAGATTTTGCAGTATCCTTCCCCTGCCACGCCCACCAAGCCACGCCCACCAAGCCACACCACACCACGCCCACCAAGCCATGCCCACAGAACTGTTAGTAAAAAAATTTGAATTCCACCACTGGTTGCCCCTAAGTATCAGTATACATTAGTATACTGATTAGTATAAATTAGGCCTGGCCTAATTTTCTCCCGTTTTAAAATTCTTTTAAATCGAAATTTTAATCTGTTTTAAATTATTGGGATTTTTTAATTGTCTCGGGCTAAATTATTTAATCTGGTTTTAATTATGTTTCTAAGTATCGATGTATTTTATTTTGTGCCTGTTCACCGTCCTTAGTCCTTTGGGAGTAGGGTGGTATATAAATTTAAATAAATAAATAAATAAATAAATAAATAAATAAATAAATAAATAAATAAATAAATAAATAAATAAATAAATGTTATTGTTGCAAGAAATTTCAGGGGTATTTTTTTTAAAAAAAAAACTGTTTGCACATATTTGTATTAGAAATAATTGGAGAAACATCCCCATTCTATTTTTTCACCAGCGTCTGCAGTACAATTCAAGTTAGGTCTAGTCATGCAAATTGCCATGGATAGAGATATATTGTTCCAGAAAAGCCTAGAGACAAAACACCCATTCCACTCCTTACGGTTTTTCATTATTTCACCAACATAAAACAAATAATACAATTATTTTGTATAATTACAATCAGGCAAAAATAGGTTGTAAAAAAATCCTTTTAAAAGGTTAAAAAAAGGCTCTGACGATTACAGCTGTGGCGCGCGATCGTCAGAGCCTTTTTTTTACCTTTTAAATGCAGGAAGTAACGACACCCGGGCGGGTGGGCGGAGCCTCACACCGCCATCGCTACCGGTTCTCCAAACCACCTGCCACGATCGCTACCGGATCGCTTGATCCGGTCCAAACTGGGAGCATTTCACCCCTGGTGTCAAGGGAGATAAAGATTGGTGATTATCCTGACGGACTTCTCCCGAAAGACTTTTTGCAACTAATTGAAACTCAGCTGTGAATGAATGTAATTCACAGCTGTTGCAATAAAAGAGGTTTTGGGGACTACTCGTGTGTTTTAATGACTCAGGAAGCCTACAACAGGAGAAACGATGTCTCCACAGCATCCATTCCCCAAGCGAACAGTACCAGCCATGCAGATTATAACTTCTGAACATATCTGTCCCAAAGGTGCTTCTTCAAGAGACAACTGGGCTTTCTGGTTTTTCTTTGAAGACGTTTTGCTTCTTATCCAGGATGAGATGCGAAGCGTCTTCAAAGAAAAACCAAAAAGTCCAGTTGCTTCTTGAAAAAGCACTTTTGGGACACCCATGACCTGGATGACTGAGAATCTCCATAGATATTCCAATTGTCGAGCGTCAAGCAGCACTCGACACCATGGTCATGAACACCATGAATACAGCAGCCTTCTGGGGGCGGTTGTGGGTGCGGGAGACACGAGGTGCTGGTGATGGGGTTAGACTTGCGACTAGGTGTCTTGGAGCACGGGAAGGGGGGTTTAGCATGAGCCGCGAAAGGGACCTGTGAGAGCAGAGCCGGGCGGCCAGCGGCAATACCTACCAGACTGGCAATGATGACATCACTCCTGTGCGCCTGGAGCAGCGGGGAATTTGAAAGCACCCAGCTGACCAGAGTTAGGCTGGCTCTATAATAAGACGCTGCGGCTGGCGTGCGATAGCCGCGTCTTTGCATTGCTTTGCATTCCGGCTTCACAACGAGCTGTAGTCACTAATAAACCAGGATACCTCACTGAGCAAACCACGTGTGATTCCTGTGTCTTGGTGATCGCGGGCTACGAGAAGCCGAGACCAATCATATCAGTAACCTGAGAACCAAAGCCAACATTTGGTAAGAAGAAAAGGTGTCTTTTGGGGGAGACAAATCGTCCTCCAACTCCATAAAGTAGCATTTCTAAAACTTGGCAACTTTTGAGATGAATGTTGGCTTGGGAATTCTGGGAGTTGAGATTCACATGTCTTAGTTGCCAAGATTGATAAACACCATCTGAAAGCATCAAATACCATTAAAAAAATAAATTCAACATCACATTAAATCCTAATTGGAAGCAATTCCTTGAGTATAATTGAACATGTGGTTCTGTACTATACCCAAATTAGATTTTTCTACATCGAGTCTATAACTCAACTTTCTGGAAAATTAAATTGCTAGCATTGATTCATTTCATTATACTTTACAGGGTAAGTTAATAATTTATGCCACGATAAGCAGGCTTTTTTATAGTTTAACAGGGATTTTCTTTTTCTCCGAAGAAATAGGTTTATTATAATTGTATCCGTTATTGGAAAATAGTGTTTTTTCTATTCTATTTGCTTACCCACGGTCCACTATTTGCATTCTACATTTTATGCATTTTACACATTTTTGTTCATATTTTCTTTAAAGCCTTTCATAAAAAGAACACTTAAAAAAATAAAAATCAAATAGAAAAAACTGCACTTCCCTATTGTGTAAGGTAAAGGTTCCCCTTGCACATATGTGCTAGTTGTTCCCGACTCTAGGGGGGCGGTGCTCATCTCTGTTTCAAGCCGAAGGGCCAGTGCTGTCCGAACACGTCTCCGTGGTCATGTGGCCGGCATGACTAAACGCCAAAGGCGCACGGAACGCTGTTACCTTCCCATCAAAAGTGCCCCCTATTTTTCTACTTGCATTTTTTTTAACGTGCTTTCAAACTGCTAAGTTGGCAGAAGCTGGGACAAATAACGGGAGTTCACCCCGTTACGCGGCACTAGGGATTCGAAACGCTGAACTACCGACCTTTCGATCGACAAACACAGTGTCTTAGCCACTGTTTTGAGTTGTCGAAACAATGTTTCTCATTCCTGGATTATTTGAAGGAGAGCAGTATGACCAGCAGTGGGTTTCACATTTTGTCATACTGGTTCACCCCGCGTGCACATGGTCACTTCACACACACGCCTTCCACACATGCGCGTAGCCTTCCGTGCATGCACCCGGCCTCAAAAACATCTCTAAATAGGATAGCATAGAGCCAGGACAGGTGGGTGGACCTACTGGTTCGCCTGAACTGGTACAAGCCGGCTGAATATCACATCTGAGTATGACGACTTTGGAGTAGGCAGAGCCATGTTCAAGTCCCATACAACATGATTTTGGCCCAGTCACTTTATCTCAGACCAGCCTACCTTGCAAGAATGTTGCTACTGACTTAGTTCAAGAAGCCTCTTTACGGAAAGTTTGTGGTGCATGTTTAATCCATTTTTAAGAAGAGAAAGTTTGAACCGCAGATTGCAAAGAGTTACAAGTCCACTCCTTTTTCTGAGGCTAACAGGAGTGCATTATTTTAAGATGAAAGATTATCCTTCCTTTGCAGGCCATCAATCTCTGTCTTAATGAGGAATCCCCATTTGCAAAGCAAGCTTTGTGGGAACCGACAACTCTACACACCCAGGATTTTCATCAGAAAAGGTTTTATTTTATTCAAAACGGGCAACTTATGCCATCCGAGATGTACAATATATATACGGAGTGAGGTCATGGGATAGGTGATATCAAAAGGGAAGCAATGCAGTCATAGATTTAGAAAACAGCCTTAGATCACCACTCCCGAAATATGAAAAGGAAGCCTAGATGTGCCTAAATCAGGGCGAAAAGGACACAGAATTACTCCTGGAAAATCTGGAAAACAGGAGCTCTCCTTCCACAAATTGATCACTATCATTCTCATCCAGAACACATTTTTAAAAACCAGCTCACATCACAATTAGCATTCCTATAAGCTTTCGCCTTGCACAAGCCCTACAATGACCTTGCTAGGAAGGTCGTGTTGTTTCCATTATACTACCAAGGTGATGGGACTCAAGCATGTTCACTGCAGAAGTTGAGATTTGGAGCTCAGACTGAACCTATGTCAACTTCCAGACACGGCACTTTCTTCTCAACAATGCCTGGCCAGTTTGCGACCCCATTGTTGGAATCAGTTAGAATACTTGAGCAACTATTGCTCAACAGGGAAGACTGTAAGCAACAGTTCTGCAGAAGACTAAAGCAGAACCTACCGTATTTTTCGGACTATAAGATGCACCAAGTTTTCGAAGAGGAAAACAAGAACAGTTTTTGGCCTCCATGCATCCGGTTTCTGCCCTCCCCAACCCCCAGGAGCACTCTGCAGGCCTCCCAAACCTTCTGTGTGCACCGTTTTTGTGAAAAACGGGCCCATTTTTGGCCTCCCAAACCCCCCACGCATCGCGTTTTTGCCGTCCCCAACCCCCGGGAGCACTCTGCAGGCCTCCCAAACCCTCTGCACACAGTGTTTTTGTGAAAAACGGGCCCGTTTTTGGTGAAAATGGGACCCGTAGGGCGAGGTTTGGCTGTATTCAGTGTATAAGACACACCAACATTTCCACCCTCTTTTGGGGGGGGGGAAGTGTGTCTTATACTCCGAAAAGTACGGTAGATATTTCCAGGGAGAAAAAAATCATTTCCAAAGGCAGGCTGTGGGCTCAAAGCACAGAGGGTTTACAACACAAAAAAACAAACAGAAACCAGCCATCCCCAACCTGGTTAGCTTCCAGATTATTGGACAACAGCTTTCATTCTTGAACTGGTCTCACTCATGTCAGATAATGGGAACTGCCTACCAACCCAACTGAAGGCCACCAAGTTAGGAAACTGACTGGACAGACAACAAAACATAGGAAGGAAAAATCAAAGGCAATTTTCTGGGACACCCCTTGCGGTCTCTGGAGACGTTCAGGTCACTCTGCGTTCTTGTACTTCGTGAACAAGTTGTATAAAACCCGCAAGGTAGACTTCAGATCCAGGTTGACAACATCTAAAGGAGAAACAAAAAGGAAAACATGTAGTTGTCAGGGTTTCAAGTAACACCCCCAACAAAAGAAAACTCCAAGGCTTGAAGTTCCTCAAAGTTCCATTTTATTAGAGATGTCATAATGTCACATCTGGGAAAACCCAAATCTGAAAGTTTCCAGGTTTTCCCCACCCAAAAGAAAATTCATTAAACATTTCAATACTAAACATTCCTATTGGAATGAAGTACACTTTAAGGTTAAGCATAGGCAACCTTGATATTTTAGGATTTTATTTAATAGCTTTATTTATGATGAGGTTTTATGGTTAGTGATGTCTGAGTACTGTCCTATAGCACAGTTTTAGTTTACATGCAATTAATTAATTAATTAATTAATTGGTTCGATTAATTGGTCTTCTCTGGAGACTCAGGGCGGCTTACAATGCGTTAAGCAATAGCCTTCATACTTTTGTATATACCTGCTTAGTAGGGCTTTCACGCCCCCCCCCAAGCGGTGTTCTCTTTTATACAAAGTCAGCTTATTGCCCCCACAATCCGGGTCCTCATTTTACCTACCTCGGAAGGATGGAAGGCTGAATCAACCTTGAGCCTGGTGAGATTTGAACTTGCAGTAATTGCAGTTAAGTGCTATTTAACAGCACTTTAGTCCGCTGCTTCACCAAGGCTCTTTTGATGCTTAGGGTTTAAAACTCCTAGTGGCATTAGGGCAGGCAAGATGAGTTTAATAGTGCTCTCATTTGCAAGAAGCAATTGCTCATCTCCTCTGGCCAGACATGGAGGGTCTTAAGTTTATTTTAGTTTATTTAAGTTTATTTTCTGAGAACTTCAGTTCCAGGTCTTCAGGCAATACCTTCCGGTCGCGCTTTTGGTTTCTTGAGCCCCGCGTCTTGCATCAGCTCAAAAGAAAAAGAGACATTGTGAACCTGAAGAAGGAATCAGACAACATAATGGCGTGATTAGATTCTTGTAATGGCTGCTAACCTCTTTTCTGAGTAACCAATTTTATGAAAAGGCAACAGCTATCATGAGTGAATGCACCAGGGGTGGGTTCTAAATTTTTTTACTACCGGTTCTGTGGGCGTGGCTTATTTTGTGGGTGTGGCTTGGAGGTCATGTGACTAGGTGGGCGTGGCTAGCTGGTCAGAGTCATTTCTGGAAGGTCCTCACACTTACGACCAGTCCTCGCACTTACGACCCGACTCATTTGTTTGCTTTTAACACTGATCAGCTGTAGGACGGCCCTTTGAAGCCCCGCAGCAAGAGTTTAAACAGTTTTTTCCCCTCTAGTCATCAGCTGGGACTCAGGAGGCAGCAATAGATTGGGGGTGGGACCAAATAAAAGGTAAGAATAACGTGGGGTGTTGGGGGGGTGGGAGGGCGGGGGGAGAACCGGTTTGGTGACGTCATATCGTCACCGCTACCGGCTCGGCCGAACCGGACCGAACCGGGAGGAACCCACCACTGGAATGCACCCAATACAAGGAGAGGCTCAACCTTGTGTTCTTCATTTATGCCGGTGTTTTTCAACTGTTGGAATGCGGAGATGTGTGGACTTCAACTCCCAGAATTCTCTGGGCTGAACAATTCTGGGAGTTGAAGTCCACATATCTTAAAAGTTCCCAAGGTTGAAAATCAGTTGACTTAGGCTCACCAAATGCATTCCACTTATGTATTGTCTGTTTGCAGAGGTGTCCACAGGGCGTGGTCAAAAAAAGTCAAGATGGCAGCAGCAATGATGCAATCGAAGCTCTATCCGTTTAAAACAAAAATGTCATAACTAGACAGAGTCTCGGAAGGTTGTTTTGAGAACGTGGCTTTGCGGCAGCTCTAGATAATCCTGGATGAAATGGATTATCTACATCAACGGACCCCAACCTTTGGGCACTAGGGACAGGTTCCACGGAGAGAGGTTTCTTTCGTGGACCGGAAGGCCCATGGTTTCGTGTGCTGCGTGCATCCCGTGGATGGGGCTTCACTTTGTTGCATGGTCTGGTTTCTGCTGTGGCCAGTGCTGGTCCAGGACCAGGGATTGGGGACTCCTGATCTAGACCCTTTCCAGTCAGGGTTCAGACCTGGCTATGGGATGGAAACAGCATTGGTCATGCTCTTTGTTAATTTCTGGCAGAATCAGGATGAGGATAGTACATTCAAACTTCCTCTACTTGCCCTCGGCAGTCTTCGACACCAGCAACCATGGTATCCTTCTGGAGTGGCTTCAGGAGTTGGAAGCGGAGAGTGTCTATATTGTCCTGGTTCACTTCCTTCCTCTGGACTCGCTCTCAGTCAGTGTCGATAGGAAGCAAGAGGTTCAGCCCTGGTCTCCTGTTTTTGCAGAGTCCTACAGGGCTCGGCACTTTCTCCAACTTCTGTTTAACATCTACATGAAGCCGTTGGGTGAGATCATGCACCACCGTGGGCTGAGATATCATCACTATGCTGATGACACCCATGTCTCAGCCCACGGTGAGTTAAGCGATGCTGTGACTTCCCTCTTGTGGTGCTTGGAAACCTTTAAAGACCGGATGGGAAGAAATGGGCTGAAATTGAACCCTGGCAAGATGGAATGGCTCTGGGTTTGAGGTTCTTCAGTCCCTACAGAATTGCCACTTTTGGTCTCGGATGGAGTGTCACGGCCCCAATTAGACCCAGTATGTAATCTGGGGATTCTTCTGGACTCATAATTCCTGCTCAAAGAGCAGGTACCAGTGGAGGGACTTTTCGCAACTGAAGATTGTGTGCCGGTTATGCCCTTTCCTAGCTTAATAATTTCTGCTCACAGTTACCCAGGTTCTTAGACACTTCCCCACTTGAACGCTCTACATGAGGTTGCCCTTGAAAAGTATCAGGAATCTTCCATTGTTCAAACTGCAGTGGCTCACATGGTTTTGTGCAGGATAGATCTGCATGAGTCCTTCTCCTCTTTATTTCTATCCTCTCCTCTTTACTCCTATCCTCTTGTTCTTGTTCTTGAGTCTCCTGTCGTTGTTCATCTTACTTACTTACTCACACTTACCTGACCAACCAGAGTAGGGAGGTAGGGAATGCTATGGATCCCCTCCCCTAAGAAAGTCTATCTAATGAGTCCAAGAAGAAAGGTTTCTTCATGGTGGCTTCCCCTGTGTAGAACATCATCCACAGAAATAAGATTGGCCCCCACTTCAATCAGGTCCCTTCCAGAATAGAACTGGAAGGGACCTTAGAGGTCTTCTAGTCCAACTCCCTATACAATTTGAGACAAGTGGCTGTCCAGTCTTTTCTTAAAAACCTCCAGTGATGAAGCACCCACCACCTCTGAAGTGGCGGATGTTCTATTGGTTAATCGTCCTCACTGCTAGGAAGTTTCTCCTTAATTCCAGGTTGCTTCTCTCCTTGATGAGTTTCCATCCATCATTTTTTGTCTTGCCTTCTGGTGCTTTGGAAAATAAATTGACGCCCTCTTCTTTGTGGCAGCTCCTCAAACGCTGGAATGCTGCTATCATGTCCCTCCTAGTCCTTCCTCTCTCTAGACTGGCCATATCCAATTCTCGCAACTTCATGTTCTTCATGTTTTAGTCTCCAGGTCTTTAATCATCTCAGTTGCTCTTCTTTGCAATTTGCCCCCCCCAAAAAAATTTCAATATCTTTTTTGTAATCTGATGACCAAAACTGAATGCAGTATTCCAGATGTGGTCTTACTAAGGCTTTATAAAGCGGAACTAATACTTCACCTGATTTTGATTCTATGCCTCTGTTTATACAACCAAGGATTGCATCTGACTTTGACACTTTCACAAGGCCCTGAATACCTGGTTTTGCCAACAGGTCTGGGAACCCCTGCAGGGTGTGAGCCAGTGGTGGGTTTCAAAATTTTTTACTACCGGTTCTGTAGGTGTGGCTTGGCGGGCGTGGCAGGGGAAGGATACTGTAAAATCTCCATTCCCACCTCACTCCAGGGGAAGGATACTGTAAAATCCCCATTTCCTCCCAATCATCTGGGACTCAGGAGGCAGAGAATAGATGGGGGAGGGGCCAGTCAGAATTTTTACTACCGGTTCTCCGAACTACTCAAAATTTCTGCTACCGGTTCTCCAGAACTGGTCAGAACCTGCTGAAACCCACCTCTGGTGTGAGCTCATCAAATGGCTTCACTGACTGTTGTCCTCAGGGGGATGGGAGAGTATCGCTTTTATAAATATTGGGTTTTTATCCTTATAAGCAGCATGAAGTCACTGAGAGGGATTCACATGGTTGCATCGATTTTCATAAATAAATAAAATGCCCGGTGTGATTACTGCTCACCTTCTGATCCAAACTTTCAGGTGTTAAGAAGAAGTGATGGAGAGGAACAAAATAATCTTCAAGGAGGCCCATCAGTAGCACCAAGTAGACGCCGTCTGCAAACTGAGAAGAAGTGCCAGATATGAAGATGAGTGTTCTGTCCCCGTCTCACACACGCATACAAACAGATAGCCAGGGGTTAAATAAAACTGGCAGACAACAAATTCTTTCGATAAGAGGCTTGGCAGCAACCCAGTAGCTGCTTGCCAAGAACTTTAGTCATAGAGGGAGGGGTTGTTCCTCCGACAGATAAACCCAAACAAGATACACACAGTTCAAGAATTGTCAAGTCCAGTCCGTATTAAATCCAAGGCAGATAACATTGTTTCAAAGATACAATGAGACTCGCTAGTAGTTTGTTTTGTCCGTCACAGAGTCTGAATGGCCACCTCACCCCCTTTTATCCCCTGTGGGGTGTGGTCCAGTGACTCAGCTTAATCTCTGGCACGCCTCCTCTTCTGCTGCGCGCGCCTGTCTCTCTGATGCTGGCGTGGATCCACCCAAGACTTATCTCCGTCACTGTCCGACTGCGAGGAGATACCTGGCTCCTGGCCAATCTCTTCTCCTACGGCAGACACCTGAGGCATTGCCAGAGAGGAGAGTCCTGGAGAGGGAGGCCTGGCCAACTCCTCTCCTTCATGTTCGGAGCCTTCTCCCTCCGATAACACAGGCTCAGGTAACGGAGCCACAACAATGAGCATCAAGCGGCTGCAGAAGACCTTCACTGGGCTGAAGATCTTCCAGTCAACATGGCCACCATCTCTATCGGCGACATTTTGGGCAGGCTGAGTCTGAGCAGAATATTCAACAGTTTTGGTTATTAATTTTCAGCTAAGGAGGGAAACCCTAGAGCAGGGGTCTCCAACCTTGGCAACTTTAAGACTTGTGGACTTCAACTCCCAGAATTCCTCTTTGCTGGCTGAGGAATTCTGGGAGTTGAAGTCCACAAGTCTTAAAGTTGCCAAGGTTGCAGACCCCTGCCTTAGAGGATGTCTAGAAGAATTCCCAAAGTGTTCCCAAGTGATCCAGGAATCGATCAATTCTCATTCAGATCTCAAGCCACCCAACCTTGCCTTTGAGCTGACAGATACTGAAGAGTGCAATGGTACTTGCTTAGAACACAGAGTAATAGATTAGAAGGGACCTTAGAGGTCTTCTAGAGGTCTTCAGGAGACTCTTTCTACCAAATAGCTGTCCGTTTTCTTGCAAAGCTCCAGTGATGGACCACCAACAATTTTTGGAGGCAGAGCCATTCCACTGATGAATCGTTCTCATTGACAGGAAATTTCTCCTCAGTTCTAAGTTGGGTCTTTCCTTAATGATCTTCCATCCGTGATTTCTTATCCTGCCCTCAGGTGCTTTGGATCAGGGGCAGTGGTGAAATCCAACTTTTTTTACTACCGGTTCTGTGGGCGTGGCTTGGTGGGCGTGCCAGGGGAAGGATACTGCAAAATCTCCATTCCCACCCCACTCCAGGGGAAGGATATTGCAAAACCTCCATTCACACCCCACCCCACTCTGGGGCAGCCAGAGGTGGTATCTGCCGGTTCTCCGAACTACTCAAAATTTCCGCTACCGGTTCTCCAGAACCTGTCAGAACCTGCTGAATAGTATCCCTGGACTAGATGTATTAGTTCCCGCAATCATTCATCATACAGTTTAGCTTCCATAAACTTTGTCAGCTTTGTTGTTCTTCTCTGCTCAGTTTTTAGAGTCTCAGCAATTTTTTTTCATATCGTGATGACCAGAATTGTATGCGGTATTTCAAGTACTATCACTTCACATGATCTTGAAACTATTCCTCTATTGAAGCAACCTAAGACTGCATTAGCCTTTCTGGTAGCTGCAGGACACTGCAAGACACGGCTGGCTCATACCTAGTTGCCATACGCCATAGAGACACAGTTCATCTTTAGAACTCACATTCATAAAAACAACATTCCACTGAATGTTAGGAACAATGCACAGCGAAACATCAGCACAATCGCCTGCTGCGTTTGTTTTGTTTGGTTGGGGATACAAATGCTATGTCATATAAGTCTCCTTTCAGTTGAGCAGGTGGTAGCTCAGCACAATTCTGCCTAGTTAAAATTTGGATGGGAGACCACCAGGAAATCCTACAGTAGAGGGCTATTGGGATGTAGAAGAGCATTCTGGAAAAAGGCCATGGCAAGCCACTTCCACACTACTGCCAAAATACCCTAACTGCATCCTATAGTCTTTTCAATAGTCTCTTTACCTTTCTATTATTATTATTATTATTATTATTATTATTATTATTATTATTATTATTATTATTATTATTATTATTATTATTGCAGAAAGACCAAAAGCAAAAAAAAATGTTCAGTGGGAAATGGTAAAAACTCTCCTGATAATCTCCCATCAATATTTGGGGATATAAGCAATAAAATAAAGCTAATTACTAAAATAGTTTCAAATGGGCCATCAGTAGCTTTTGTTTAAATTATGGGTCCAAGTAGCTGGAGTATAGATATCCAATGTTGTTCTTTGAAGTCTTACCTGGCTTTCTAATTCCGACACCTCCAAATTCAGCTTGTTTAAGTGTTTGTTTACAAAAGTGATCAAGGACTGAAAAGCAAGGAAGAATACAGTGATTAGAGAAATAAATATCCAACCAATATTCAATTAAAAAAAAATAATAGTGTCTTAACTATTTACCGTGTTTCTCTGAAAATAAGACCCAACTGGAAAATAAGCCCGAGCATGGTTTTTTCAGGATACACGTAATATAAGCCCTACCCTAAAAATAAGCCTCAGTTAAGATCGTCGGCCACATGGACCTGCATTTTAGTATCGTATTTCCCTGAAAATAAGACCTAACCAGAAAATAAGCCCCAAGGCATCTTTTGGAGCAAAAATTAATATAAGATCCGGTCTTATTTTTGAGAAAACACGGGTAGAATTCAAAGTAACATTCAAGCCTTCCATTCATCTGATAAGACCTGCACAGCAGTTCTCAGTTTTATTAGAAGGAGCAGAAGTTTACCCGCAACAGAGGATTGTACAAAATTTATATTTGGAATTTAGGGGAACAAGTTTCACACAACTGCCGAGGAAGTCTAATGATATTCCACATGCTTATTCCCATGAACAGATATAGCACTGAGCACAAGGTTACCCTAAAGCTGAGCTCAACCCTGGATAATATTATTCTATTTAAAATAGCAACCTAAATTCTGAGTTCTTGGTTGTCATACACAGGTAGTCTTCAACTTACAACCATAATTGAGACCAAAATTTCTGTTGTTAGGCATTTGTTAAGTGAGCTTTGTCTCATGTTACGGCCTTTCTTGCCACAGTTGTTAAATGAATCACTGCAGTTGATAAGTTAGTAACCTGGTTGTTAAGTGAATCGGGTTTCCCCATTGACTTTGCTCGTCAGAAGGTCACAAAAAGGGATCAGGTGACCCCCTGGGACACTGCTGCGGTCATAAATATGATCCAGTTGCCAAGCATCTGAATTTTGATCTCATGATCATGGGATGCGTCAAAGGTCGTAACTGTGAAAAACAGTCATAAGTCACATTTGTCAGTGCCGTTGTAACTTTGAACGGTCACTAAACAAACTGTTGTAAGTCAAGGACTACCTGTACTGCATCCCAGGAGTCTAGCTATCCTGTTCTTCATTCAGTTGCATAAATTGGCTTTTTCGTTGCACCAAGGGAACCAAGCATCCCACAGTAAACAAAAGAAATGAAGAGGCTCATTAAACACAAATTTTACCTTTTTTACCACACTTAATTTATCTGGGGCATGGTCAAAGAGTGTATCAAAGGCATCTCGCTCTGGTTTAAAAGAGAAAAAGAAAAGTTTGTTAAAATAGTGAGAATTCAATGGAAAGAACTATACATAGCGATTTTTATATGTAGCACAATGTAAAATGAAAACATGACTAGACATAGTATATGAGCAGTGGCGGGTTGCCCCCGGTTCGCACCAGTTCTATAGAACCGGTAGTAAAACTGGTGGGAGGCCCCGCCCACCGACCTGACATCATCAAAATGCTTCTGCGCATGCGCGCGGGCAAAGCGAACGCGCACACGCCCCGGCTGAAACCGGTAGTAAAGGTAAGTAGAACCCACCCCTGTATATTAGCCACGGTGGCGCAGTGGTTAGAGTGCAGTACTGCAGGCTACTTCTGCTGACTGCTGACTGCCAGCAGTTTGGCAGATTGAATCTCACCAGGCTCAAGGTCAGCCTTTCATCCTTCCGAGGTCGGTAAAATGAGAACTCAGATTGTTAGGGGCAATATGCTAACTCTGTAAACTGCTTAGAGAGGGCTGTAAAGCACTGTGAAGCGGTATATAAGTGCTATTGCTATTGCTACTTGTTTCCCCGAAAAAGACCCTGTCTTACATTTTTTTTGAATCCCAAAATAAGCGCTTGGCCTTATTTTCGGGGAGGTTTTATTATTTTGGGGCGCGTGGAGGAAACCAGAGGAAATGGAGGGGACCGGCTGTGCATGTGTTTAAATATTTTCAGGGAGGGCTTATTTTCAGGGAGGCTTATTTTAGTGCATGCGCTCAAAAGCCCGATTGGGCTTATTATCAGGGGATGTCTTATTTTAGGGGAAACAGGGTAAATTTATCTAAAAGGAAGAGGGTTTTAAATTTAAGATGATATTGTTTTCTAAAAGAATAAATAAACGTCAACGTAAGACAAAAATCTCATATGCTACCTTGCTTCCCAACCAAACTTTTCCTCCTTATAAATGTGCACATCTATTTGTATTAAGACTATACTTCTATATGTGTACAATGTGTATAGAGATATGTGCACATAGATATGTGTCAAAAGCCACAGGTCCACAAAACAGCAGACTCCGGGAAAATAAGCATCTACTTGAATTAACAACTCCTCGTTAAATTTAATTGCCTGTAAAATGTAACATCCCATTTATCAAATCAATTCATTCTACAACTTCAAATAGCGGTCATTCTCTTGCACACACAAACCATTCTCACATATAACGCACAAAACTACACAGATATATATATACACACCCACACTCTCCAGGAACCCTTATCTTCCAATTGGATCAATACAGCATCCTATGTTTGTCAGGATTAGACCAGCAGCAGAAGAAGGTTTTAAATCCAGTGTTTCTCAACCTTTGGCAACTTTAAGATATGTGGGCTTTAGCTCATAGAATTCCCCAGCCAGCATGCTGATTAAGAAGTCCAGAAATTAGAGAAAATGGAAGGATGCAACAGAAAAGATAATTACCCCACCAGCTTGAAAACTGGACTGGACTGAGCAAAACTACAGTCACTTTGACACAAAATGCTTAACATTTTATGATGATAAATATCTCATATCATTAATCATAATAAACTTGAAGAGTTTAAGCTACAATTTAAGCCACAATTTCAATTCTTCAGTTTTCCAAGTTAAAATCTTTTACTTACCAAACCTTCCCATCATCATTCTGGAAACAAGAAATTAAAAAAAATAATAATTAATGGCTTCCTAAATGTTCATAGTTCTTAAGGAATCATGCAAAGAGGCTCTTTTTCATCATCGGATGTTTTTAGCCTGCACAGCTTTTCAAAGCTAGACAGAATCGCTATCCACATTGCCTAGGGCAGGGGTCTGCAACCTTAAACACTCAAAGAGCCATTTGGACCCATTTCCCACAGAAAAGAAAACACCGGGAGCCACAAAACCCTTCTCATGCCTGACTATTTCTTGAGTGGCCACAAAATTAGTGTATGTAGTTCAATTAAATGTTCTGTTTTCTTCTGAAACTTTTCTTTTCTTGGGTTTATCCATGGTTGGCCTACTGGGGGTTGAAAAGCTCAATAAATCGTGTGCCAGCGGGTGTCGCACATTGGTGGTTGTGACACATATTTTGAGTGACAGGGAGCTGCAGCAAAGGGTTGAAAGAGCCACGTGTGGCTCCAGAGCTGCAGGTTGCTGACCCCTGGCCTACGGCATGTTTCTCTGATTTGTTCCAGAAAATTCTGGAACACCACCCCCACCCCCACCCCGAACCTCTCTCTCCACAGCTCTTTCTGGCACTTTCTATAATGGCTCCTCAAACTCTCTTCCGTTTGAAAGCAGCAGGTGAGGGCGACCAGAGAGAGATCACTGCTCAAAAAATATCAGAATATTGAAAACCACGAAAGTAAAATCTCCTAGCACATCAATGGAATGATAATATGAATTTCCAAGGTCTTTCTCTGAGACATCCCTTTCAGTCCTCCTTTAATCTCTATGTCTCACGGCCTGAAATGGTCTGCTTTGCTACCTGTGTTTCCCCAAAAATAACACCTTGTCTTATTTTAATTTTTTTGGCCACCAAAAAAGGCGCCAGGTCTTATTTTCAGGGGGAATGTCATCCACTGACTCACCTCATTTGCACGCATTGCCCCCAGCCTCTTTTTTGCTATTTTGGCCTTCAGAAACTTATTCATCTGGCAAGGCGAGCAAGGCTTTCCAGAAGGCATCTGCAGCCGATAACAGCCCTCTGGATCGATCCGGAGAACTGTTATCGGCTACCGAGGCCTTCAGGAAAGCCTTGCCAGTAGAAAAAAATGGGCCGAGGTGTGCAAGGCCTGGCTGCAACTATCCGAAGGTAAGTAGTAGGACAGACCTTGTGTTCCTCAGGGTCACCTGAGTGGTGAATGGTGTGGGAGTACGAATGGATTTCCAGAGGAAAAAAATGCGAACTACAGGAACCATTTCCACTACTCAGGTGACCCTGAGGACACAGATAAACCTCCAAGGGCTTCAACGACCTTCAAAAAGGATGCAAATAACCAGTTGTCTGCAAGGAATATAAATCCTTCCATTCCCCACTATCCTGTCAGAGCTGAAGAAGCTTCTTGGATGAGAAGCGAAACATCCTCAAAGAAAAAACAAGGAAGTCCAGTTGCCTCCTGAAAAAAAACATCTTTGGGACTTTCTGATCTGATTCCAGAGAACAATTCTATGTGCCAACCAAAATGAAGTAACATGGAGAGCACCCAGCAGTAAAAACACAGAGCTTACTCAGTTGTAGTAGTGATTTCCTCGGTCACATGGGCCGTCTGAAGTAACCCTTCTCGCTTCTGGAAGAAAATCAAAGTCAGGACTAATGAAATGCTGGAAGAAGTAACTGAAGAAGTGCATAGGAATGACACCTTACAAGAAAGCAATTGTGTTCTTTTTGCTAACTAGAGGAGCAGAATTAGAAAAGAGTCAAGTTCTCCTTTATCTCAAACCGATAGAATTAATAGAAGTGTTAAACATCTCTGAAGGCAGGAGACAACCTAACCAGATACACTTTTCTGCCTTCAGCAACAAGAAAAAATTCTTACCCACATCTGGACGAACTTTAAATAAGAAGCAAACTTTCAAACCAGAAAGGTGTTATTAATCTTCCCCATTGGTGTACAAGCTTTACAAACTCTGCAGATTGACACAACCCATTTATTGTAACAGCACTACTAATGTAGCAGAGAAAAGACACCAAAGAACAAACTTCACCAGCACAAAGCTAGCATAGCACGATGGATGGATGGCTGGATGGCTGGATGGCTGGATGGCTGGATGGCTGGATGGATGGATGGATGGATGGATGGATGGATGGATGGACGGGCAGACAGACAGACAGACAGACAGATGGGAAGGCAGACAGATAGGGTGTCCACAAAATGCGGTAGAAAAGTGAAAAGTTGAGAGCCTGTAGTACAGTGGACTAAAGCACTGTTTTTAGCTGCTGCTTGCAATTACTGCAAGTTCAAATCTCATCAGGCTCAAGGTTGACTCAGCCTTCCATCCTTTCAAAGGTAGGTAAAATGAGGACCCAGATTGTGGGGGGCAATAAGCTGACTTTGTATAAATATATAAAAGTATGAAGGCTATTGCTTAACACATTGTAAGCCGCTCTGAGTCTCCGGAATATATATATATATAATATGAAGCTATAATAGTGGGAATAATTTCCCCAAAGACAAAAAAGAATGTGTTGGTGATCGTTGACTCAGTACTTAGACCAGGGGTGACAAATTAAAGACCCGCGGGCCATATCCAGCCCACAAGGTACTTATATCTGGCCCGCAGGGCCACACCCTGGAAACAGCGAAGGACCAGCCCGCTATGCCTCTGTCAGCGAAAACAGAGGTCAAGAGGGCCACCGTTTTCAGCTGCGACAGCCTCCAGCAATCCTCTGCCAGTGAAAACGGAGCTCGGGACTCCATTTTCACTAGCATAGGACTCAGGCCGCTACAGACACTGCTGACATGAATGACGTCGAGCTGGCCACACCCACCATGGCCACACCCACCTGGCCCCCAACGTTAAACACAACCCTGATGTGGCCCTCAATGAAATCGAGTTTGACACCCCTGACTTAGAGGAACAGGGTCACAAAACCCTGATCTGATGTGACCTTCACCTGACCTACTGACCACACAAAGCCCTTATAAGCAGAAGAACACCAATGACATCATCCTAAATTCCACTGAAGACGTTACCTAGCCTGGTAACAAAATTCAGAAACCCACAATCTCAGAGAACGAACCTCTATCCTCATCCTACACCCGAGCTACAGATATTCACCACTATCCCAAAACTAGTGGCATTGTCTGTATTTTAAAAATTATTTTTTAAATAAATATATTTGAAGTGATGGTTTATTACTGTTTTCCTTTTATAGTACCACATAGCTTAATTACACATGCATGAAAAGCTTAAAATCTTTCTTGGGTACCTACCTTTACGACGACCACTTGCACAGAAACATGTTCAGGGAGCCGAATAGTAGCCCGGAAATGCATGGCCAAAGCCACCAGCAGGTGGAGGATGGACACCAGGTTCTTGCCATGGATCACTGAAGAAGGAAACCAAGAAGTCATCATGGGAAGTTTTGAATAGGCTGGTCTGTTTTCAGGTGGGAGCCTATTTAATTCCACTCCAGGAACAGTTTGATTACCTATATCTGTCTGTCTGTCTGTCTGTCTGTCTGTCTGTCTGTCTGTCTGTCTGTCATCTATCTATCTATCTATCTATCTATCTATCTATCTATCTATCTATCTATCTAATCTATCATCTATTTACAGTATCTATCTATCTCTATCTATCATCTATTTACAGTATCTATCTATCTCTATCTATCTATCTCTATCTATCTATCTATCTCTATCTAATTTATCATCTATTTACAGTATCTCTCTATCTCTATCTATCATCTATTTACAGTATCTATCTATCTCTATCTATCTATCTCTATCTATCTATCTATCTAATCTATCATCTATTTACAGTATCTATCTATCTCTATCTATCTATCATCTATTTACAGTATCTATCTATCTCTATCTATCTATCTCTATCTATCTATCTCTATCTAATCTATCATCTATTTACAGTATCTATCTATCTCTATCTATCTATCATCTATTTACAGTATCTATCTATCTCTACCTATCTATCTATCTCTATCTAATTTATCATCTATTTACAGTATCTATCTCTATCTCTATCTATCTATCTATCTATCTATCTAATCTATCATCTATTTACAGTATCTATGTATCTATCTTTCTATCTATCTCTATCTATCATCTATTTACAGTATCTATATCTATCTATAGTATCTATCTATCTAATCTATCATCTATTTACTGTATATCTATCTATCATCTATCTATTGTATCTATCTACATATCTATCTATCTATCTATCTATCTATCTATCTATCTATCTATCTATCTATCTATCTACATTTCAAGAAAAAGAATAAAACAAGACCTAAGAATAAAGAGAGAAGAAAAGAAAAACAAATAAGGAAAGAAAAAAGCTAAAAGTGCAGAAAAAAATCATAAAGAAACAAGTTCCAATTTCCTTGTACAAGTTATAAGTGTAAATTAACCTCTTGCCTTATGGTTACATTACTACATTTTTTTCTAAAATCTATTTTTTCCCTAAACATCAAAAACGTACATCATGCTTTTTCTTTTCTTTTTTCTGTATCAAAAGTCAATAAGGGTTTTCCAATCAGCATGAAATTTAGATCATGTTTCCTCTCTTAATTAAAGCTGCCAATTGACCATCGAAGCAAGTTCTGTTATTTTCACCATCTGTTTGTCCATTGCGGGTAAAGCTGAGTCTTTCCCCCTTTGAGCCTATAAGCATCTCACTGCAGTTGTCATACACAAAATGCTACGGGGTTTTTGTATGCTAAATGCTAAATGCTGATGCTTACAGTCCACACTCCATTTGATCGTCCAGCCATGAGGTCGAAGTAAATCATAGACAGCTTCCAGCACAGTCTGCAATTTCTGTTTCTGTCCAATTTCAGACTGCGTCACTTCAGCCACATTTAGTTTACAACCAGCGAGCTTTTCTAGATTGGAAACACAGATAAGCAGAAGCAAGATTTTACAAGTAAAGCAGCGGTCTTTGCAACAACTTTGGCCCTACCTGCGCAGACCTCATTTATTGAACGTTCCCAGTTAAAACAGTGATGAAAAAGCAACTTTACAGATGATCCTCACATTTAAAAATGCTCCAACACTGGAAGTTTTTAAGAAGAGATTGTCTAAGTAGGGGGTTGGACTAGAAGACCTCCAAGGTCCCTTCCAACTTGTTAAGGAATTCGCAGAGCAACCCTAGAGTAGCAAGGGTGTGCACATGAAAGCGACTGAGAGCAGTTGCGAATAATCACAGCCAACACACAGATACACTGAGTTGTGTTTACTTTTAGGAAATAGTAATAAGACACAGTCCAATAAACAATCCAGATCATACACAGATAAAGCAGTAGATATTAAAACAATAGTCCAGGGATATTCCAATAACAAAGTCTTCTTACCAGTCGTCATAGTCATACACAATAAACAGTTGCAAACAGTAGCAAACATAGCAAGGAGCAATAATGATCAGCAAAGAAAAACAAACCATGTTTCAAGCTCCCTCTTAATGACATTGACTACAGAGCTAACCAATCAGGACACAGTATGATGCAATACAGCAATACAGTCTTAAAGCTATATTAATAATAATAATAATAATAATAATAATTTTATTTCTATACCGCCCTTCTCCCGAAGGACTCAGGGCGGTGTACAGCCTATTTAAAAGCACAGACAAAACAATGATATAAAATTTAAAATAATTAAATAAGTGGCTCAAATTTAAAACCCCAATAAATTTAAATACCCCAATTTAAAACTATTGTGTTGATAGTCCGGCCTGGCGGAACAACAGGGTCTTCAATGCGCAGCGAAACACCCGGAGGTCGGAGATCTTACAAATTTCCGGGGGCAGTTCATTCCACAGGGCTGGGGCTCCCACAGAGAAGGCCCTCCCCCTGGGCGTCGCCAGCCGACATAACTTGGCTGATGGCACCCTGAGGAGGCCCTCTCTGTGGGAACGAACTGGTCGGTGGGAGGCTATTGGTGGCAGAAGACGGTCTCGGAGGTACCCGGGTCCTATGCCATGAAGCGCTTTAAAGGTGGTAACCAACACCTTGAATCGCACCCGGAAGACCACCGGGAGCCAGTGCAGCTCGCGCAGGAGGGGTGTCACATGGGCATAACAGGTTGCGCCCATAACCACCCGCGCGGCCGCATTCTGGACCAGCTGGAGCCTCCGAGTGCTCTTCAAGGGGAGCCCCATGTAGAGAGCATTACAATAGTCCAACCGGGAGGTGACAAGGGCATGAGTGACCGTGCGCAAGGCGTCCCGGTCCAGAAAGGGCTGCAACTGGCGAATCAGGCGAACCTGATAAAAGGCCCCCCTGGCCACGGCCGTCATGTGCTCTTCTAAAGACAGCCGTGCGTCCAGGAGGACACCCAGATTGCGAGCCCTCTCTGTGGGGGGCAAAGATTCACCCCCAATAGTCAGCGATGGCACCTGCTGACTATATCGGGGCGCCGGAAGCCACAGCCACTCGGTCTTGGAGGGGTTGAGTCTGAGCCTGTTCCTCCCCATCCAGACCCGCACGGCCTCCAGGCAGCGGGACATCACATCAAGGGCATCGTTGGGGTGGTCTGGGGTGGAGATGTACAGCTGAGTATTGTCAGCGTACAGATGACACTTCACCCCAAAACCACGGATGATCTCACCCAGCGGCTTCACATAAATGTTGAACAGGAGGGGCGAGAGGACCGACCCTTGCGGCACTCCCCATGCGAGACGCCTCGAGGTCGACCTCTGCCCCCCTGCCAACACGAACTGCGAGCAGTCGGAGAGGAAGGAGGAGAACCACCGCAAAACGGTGCCCCCTATTCCTAACCCCCTCAACCGCTGCAGCATGATACCATGGTCGATGGTATCAAAAGCCGCTGAGAGGTCTAACAGGACCAGGACAGAGGAACAACCCCTGTCCCGAGCCCTCCAGAGATCATCCACCAACGCGACCAATGCCGTTTCTGTGCTGTACCCCCGCCTGAAGCCCGACTGGTACGGGTCTAGATAGATAGCTTCATCCAGGTGCCGGGGAAGTTGTCGTGCCACCACGCTCTCAACAACCTTCGCCACAAAACGATATTGAGGGTTTATATATTACCAACCCAACAAATTAGGTAATTATCATTTCCTAACAATTCTATTCTATTTACAACCTTCCCAGGGTGATAAACCAAAGGAAACCGGAAGTCCAATTGTAAGCACAGTTTATTAGTGACCGTTTCACTTAGCGACAAGAGTTCCCAGTCCCAATTGTGGTTGCTAGAGAGGAGAGTTAGGGCAGCTAGAAACAGGTGCACATTTGCAATTTTTATTATTGAGTTTTTGAATGAAAAGCTTCATTTGCTAACACTCACAACAAACACAAAACAGTCTGTATTATTTTGAGTGATGCAAGTTAAGGACGCTCACAAGGCATGGTACTTTCCATTATGTGGTGATTCATGAGGCTTTATAATGGCACCCACATTAGTCAACTTACCGTATTTTTCGGAGTATAAAATGCACTTCCGCCCCCCCCCCCCCCCCCACCAAGAGGGAAAATTAGAATGGGTTTTTTTCACCGAATGTAGCCAAAAATGCGAGGCACAGAGGCAGCAATAGTCTGTGGCAATCCCTGCAGCCAGGAACAGCTGATTGGGGGTATTCCAGGAGGTCGATCGACCTGCCAATCAGCTGCTCGTGCTGAATCAGGCTGCAATAATGTGCTGAAGCTGACCTGGCTGTTCGCTATTTGCTGCAAGGACTGTCAGAGTTAGTAACTGATTCAGCAGGATTCAATAACTTCTCTTTATATATACTATAACACATGAAGTAAATATACAATACCAAAAGCAGGTTTTCCAATGTGGTAGTAAATACAAGCAAAACACAAGCAGAGGAGAGGAGTTTAGTTTCAGTGATCAGCACAGCATGCAGTTTTAGAACAGTTAAGCTAAGCCACGCCCAGGCTCCTTGCTGTCTCCTTCCTTGTTGCTCACACAGCAAATACCGTTTCAGTTTCCAAACAGCCCTCAACTCTCTCACACACTTACTGGACGCTAGCCAGATGAATACTGATGGATGCTGGTAGGCAGAGGCAAAAAATTTTTCCCTTTATTTTCCTCCCCAAAAACTAAGGTGCGTCTTATACTCCGGAGCATCTTAGACTCCGAAAAATATGGTATTTATATCAGACATGCCAGCAACAAGGGGATGCAAATCTTGTTGCCCTGATGATTTGTCCATAGCAGTACAAGAAAAACACATGGAGGCAGCAGACAACTCCTGTCCAAAGATCTTAAAATCTTGGGAAAATTATTCACTGACTGGAGACTCACTCCCAGCACCAGCAAAACATAACTACATGCTTCCACTTTAACATCAAACTAGCATACGAAGCCCTGAAAGTCTACTCACTCCCCTATAATCCCCATCTACAAAGTACATTGGAATAACACTGGATCCAACTGTCTCAATGGTGGTATTCAGCCGGTTCAGACGAACCGACAGCAGAAATTCCGGGTGGACCCGCCTACCCGCCCCAACTCTATGCCATCCAATTTAGGCACATTTTTGAGGCCGTACGCATGTGCGGAAGGCACGCGCATGAGCAAAGCACATGCGCGGAAGGCCGGATGCATGTGCAGAAGGCAGGTGCATGTGTGAACCGGGCATGCGTGTGTGCGAAGCAAGTGCGCACGGTGAAGCAGTAGAAACAAAATGTGAAACCCGCTGCTGAACTGTGTCCTATAAGATAACCTAGAGCAGGGGTGTCAAATTCACGTCACATCGTCGTCACGTGATGTATCGCGACTTTTTTCCCCTTTGCTAAACCGGGGGGGGGGTGAGCATGGCCAGCCCGTTTGACCCCCTGACCTAGAAAATACGGCAGCACAAAATCAACACAAGGAACAACATACCAGGAAGGGCCTGGTGGCTCAGCAGACTAAAAGCATTGTCATTAACACCAGCTGTCTGCAATTACTGTAAGTTCGAATCTCTCCAAGGCTCAAGGTTGACTCAGCCTTCCATCCTTTCTAAGGTAGGTAAATTGAGGACCCAGTTTGTGGGGGAAATAAGCTGACTTTGTATACATATACAAAAGTATGAAGGCTATTGCTTAACGCATTGTAAGCCGCCCTGAGTCTCCGGAGAAGGGCGGCATATAAATCAAATTAAAAAAAAAAACATACTCCAGAAATTATGAGGACCTCAATGGGGAGTTTCAGTTGCCACCTTCAGGTCATTAGCACCAGGGTTGGTCTACTCCACCCCAGAATACTGTGCCCCTGATGATTTAACAGCTGCCATACTACAATGTTTCTCCGAAAATACGACCTACCCCGAAAATAAGCCCTAGCTTGATTTTTACACATGCGCCCAATATAAGCCCTACTCTCCCAAAATAAGGTGTAATTAAGACCCCGCCCACTCCAGGGTGCATGGGTAAAAATTAAGTTAGGGTGGGGATGGGGGTTGGAGCTGCCCTACTACTTACCTTCGGCAATTGCAGCCAGGCCTCGCACACCCTGACATCTGCCTTGCTGACCCATTTCTTCTGCAGCTGGCAAGGCTTTCCTGGAGGTATTTGAAGTCAATAACAGAGCTGTGGATCGATCCGGAGCTCTGTTATCGGCTGCAGAGGCCTTCAGGAAAACCTTGCCAGCCTTGCCGGCCGCAGAAGAAGTTCCTGAAGACCTCTGACAGTGAAAAGGTGGCCAGGGGAGACACATGCAAGTGAGGTGAGTCAGTGGATGACATTCCCGCCCCCCTGAAAATAAGACCTGGTGCCTTTTTTGGTGGCAAAAAAATTATAAAGGCAGGGTCTTATTTTTGGGGAAACATGGTAGTAAGTTAGACACCAGACTCAACGATACCATGAGGATTATAAGCAGATGTATTAAACTTGTTGGCTTCCTGTTCTGAGCCACATAGCACCATATAGCATCACCAGTTTTGCAACTGCAAAAGGACATTTCATAAAAGGAACATAATTAAGTCAAAATTTAAATCAGTTTCCCTAACCAGACCATCCACCATTTTCACACATAACACCTCACCTAGCAATTTCTGTAGCACTTGCCCATCATAAACGTCTTCTTCAAGCTGTTTGACAATTATCCTTTCTTCAACCAAGACATCATTTATCCAGTCGATCAAAACCTGGACAATGGTGAACGAGGACAAAAAAAATTATTCAAGTCGTCTAAAGAATTCTATGAGGAAAGCAACTGAATCCAGGTAGTCCTCAATTTACAACAGTTCATTTAGTGACCATTCATAATATCTAGAGAGAAAATCATGCAGTAATTGTTGGAAATGTCATAAACAGAAGGACGATTTTTATCATATGTGGTGGACGTGTAAATCCCCCACCCACCACCTAAGTACTGGAAAGTTATACACATTAGAATGAAAAACATTTGGAATTTATATTTGAAATGAAACTGCATTTTTATTAAGTATAATCTACGAAAAAAACATCCTGAACCACTGTAAATTAATGAGATATCTTCTCATATGCTTTAGGTTCCCCTTTCCCTTCTCTGTATCTTTTTATTTATTACTTTCATTTTTTTTTCATTATTATTTTAATGTGTCCTAGTTTTAAAGTTTGTAAGCCACCCAGAGTCAACTTTGGACAAGATAGACAGCACATAATTTTGATAGATGATGGATGGATGGATGGATGGATGGATGGATGGATGGATGGATGGATAGCAATAGCAATAGCAATAGCACTTAGACTTATATACTGCTTCACAGTGCTTTACAGCCCTCTCTAAGCAATTTACACAGTCAGTCTATTGCCCCCAACAATCTGGGTCCTCATTTTACCCACCTCAGAAGGATGGAAGGCTGAGTATAAATAAATACATACATACATACATACCTATACAATTTGAGTCATGCTTCTGCACAAAAGGAATTCTATCAAGAAATATACAGAGCAATTCAAATAAGATGATAAGATAACCTTTGTTGAAATTTTTTACCGTGAGTGCACTGGCCCACTGGCCATTAAAAAAGAAATTACATTGCCTGTTCTCAAAAGAAAGTATATATCTACCCATACCCATTCATAACACACATATACATATGCTATTGTACACACATGCACACACACACACATACACACATACGTATGTGTGTGTGTGTGTGTGTATGTATGTATGTATGTATGTATGTATGGAGATAGATAGATAGATAGATAGATAGATAGATAGATAGATAGATAGATACTAGACACAAGGACAGTTTTTTCCTGAACGCCATCACCCTGCTAAACAAATAATTCCCTCAACATTGTCAAACTATTCACTAAGGCTGCATTACTATTAATCTTCTCATCGTTCCCATCACCCATCTCCTCCCACTTATGACTGTGACTGTAACTTTGTTGCTTGTATCCTTACGATTTATATTGATTGTTTCCTAGTATGATTCGATTGCTTATTTGTATCCTATGACTATCATTAAGTGTTGTACCTTATGATTCTTGTCGAATGTATCTTGTCTTTTTATGTACACTGAGCGCATATGCACAAAAGACAAATTCCTTGTGTGTCCAATTACACTTGGCCAATAAAGAATTCTATCCTATCCTATCCTATCCTATCCTATCCTATCCTATCCTATCCTTATCTATCCTATCCTATCCTATCCTATCCTATCCTATCCTATCCTATCCTTTAAATAGATAGATAGATAGATAGATAGATAGATAGATAGATAGATAGATAGATAGATAGACAGATAGATAGAGATAGATATATACTGGTAGATATATAGATATAAATAAAAGCAAGGTTGATGCTATATGGAACAAAACTGTGACTTGAATCTGGATGTTCTGCTTTGGATACCACAAAGCTTCCTCCCAGAAGGCAACAAGGAAAACAGATCATGAAGACGATATGTAGCGTCCCAGACCAGGGGTGAAATGCTCCCAGTTCAGAGTGGATCGCCCGATCCGGTAGTGATGGCGGCGGGTGGTTCGGAGAACTGGTAGCAAAAATCCCTGCCCCCCCCCCCCCCCGCAAAGCTGAACCGCACGATCATCAGAGGCTTTTTTTTTTTTACTTTTAAAAGCATTTTTTCCTGCAACCTCTTGGACGAAGAAGAGGTAAAAAAAATGCTTTGAAAAGTCTCTGACGATCACAGCTGAGTTGCCTGATTGGCAGAGGCTTTTCAAAGCATTAGAAAAAATGCTTTGAAAAGTTAAAAAAAAAAAAGTTGGCCATGCCCACCGTCACATTACCCCCCCACCACCACCAAGCCACGCCCACAGAACTGGTACTAACAAATTGTACATTTCACCCCTGTCCCAGACGATCCTGAAGACAGAATGTGTTGCTCTTAAATAGGGGAGCCCAGATGGCATATACTTGTCAAAACTCTGCAAGGTGGTGAGTGCAGCTTCACAACTGAAGTCCTGCCTCTTTGTACAAGAAAAGGTGGGGCTTCAAATAGGATTTCACATGCACAATCTTGCAGATTTTGATCACCTCCTGTGGACACCGCGGTTGTTAAACCTTCAATCTATTTTCCTGAATTGACTAGCAAAAAGCATTGCTGTCATCCTGGAAGATGGCTATCGTTTTTATGGCATTTTTCATCCACTTGATAGATTATTATTTCATTTATTATTTCCTCAGTCAGCATTCTGTATGCATAATATTTTCTTGCTGGGCTGCCCTCCAACCAAGGGAGATTTCCTTTCCAATACACCAACCTACAGTTTGCTCTGTAAATCAACAGAGAGGAAAGTGCTCACGTTTCCAAGATTGGCACAACAAACACAATAAGCATAATGTAGTAGGTTTCTTCTATCACAATTCAATTTCCTAAACCTCTCCACAGGAGAAATACAAGTGAACATCTACCACATCTCATCTCTTCCCAAAATTAAGAGAAGGATGGAGAAATAAAAAAGATAGCACATCTGAAAATACTAATATAAATCAGATAATATTTTTAGCTTAAGTTTTTGATTCAAGGATTTCTTTCCTTTTTGATTTTAGTCCTACTGTCCAGTGGTGGGATTCAAAATTTTTTACTACCAGTTCTGTGGGCGTGGCATGACTTGGTGGGCATAGCAGGGAAGGATACTGTAAAATCTCCATTCCCACCCCACTCCAGGGGAAGAATACTGTAAAATCTCCATTCCCTCCCTACTCCAGGGGAAGGTTACTGCAAAATCCCCATTTCCTCCCGATCAGCTGGGACTCAGGACACAGGGAATAGATGGGGGCCGGGGCCAGTCAGAGGTGGTATTTACCAGTTCTCCTAACTACTCAAAATTTCCGCTACCAGTTCTCCAGAACTGGTCAGAACCTGCTGAATACCACCTCTGCTACTGTCCATTCTTCGAGGCACGCGCATGGATTTTCTTTTTAATGTGTCCTACTAAAGCTTCCTTCCTGGATAAAAATGAGGACAAGAAATACAGTGGATTTACTATCTAAAATTTATTACTTTATAGTGGCTTCTCCTGTGACGGTTTCTCCAAATGTATTTTCCAGGGAGGCACAGCAGTCGTTTTTCTGTGTTACCCGAAATGCAAAATCAAAGCACTTTCATCTTAAGGTAGACTACATCAAAGGAAGGCAAACCTCTGCCTTGAAGTCTTCCTCACCTTGATAAGTTCTTTAAACTTGGCATCCTCCTTTGAAGTGGGATCTATCATGGTACGTTCTTCATTTTCCTCTGGCAATTTCAAAAAGAAGCCCCTCATTAAAGACACCGTGGCACAAACACAAGCACATTGTTTCAGAAATTTAATTGATATTAAAAGACATCAGCTGCCATCTGATTTATAAATGGCAAAAAATTAGTCATTTCATAAACCGGAAAATGACGTCCAATTATCTAAATTGGGTATGGCCGGTCTAAAGAAAAGAAGGATTAGCAGTGACATGATAGCAATATTCCAGTATCTGAGGGGCTGCCACAAAGAAGTGGGGGTCAATTTGTTTTCCAAAGCACCAGAAGGCAAGACAAGAAACAATGATGGAAACTAACAAAGGAGAGAAGCAACTTGGAATTAAGGAAAAACTTCCTAACAGTGAGGGCAATTAACCAGTGGAACAGCTTGCCACCAGAAATCCAAAAGGAAGCTTGGGAAGGTAAGTAGAACAGCGAGGGGGGAAATCAGCTGTGGCGCACTATTTAGCTTTGCTAGAAAGCAGGATTTTCTGCTTTCTAGCACAGCTAAACCCTGCTGCACAGCTGATTGTCAGAAATACCAGTTTGAAGGAATCAGTAGCTTTTTTAAGTTGGTTGCCTCATAGCATGAATAGAATAGAATTTTTTAAGGGCCAAGTGTAATTGGAACACCCAAGGAATATGTCTTGGTGAACAAGACACTGTTGGCGAACTGGGCTTTCAGATCATGTGATATGCAACGCAGGGTTGCTTACAGAAGACGTAACCCTTGTGGCCCTCAAAACAGGACTTTTCCAAAGGCAACAGAAGGAGGAAGCAAAGAGAGAATTAAAAAAATCCATCCTCTTTCTCTAGCCATACTTCCATATAAATGCAGTAGCCTGCATTTTTACCCAGGATTAAGTACTGGATTAGACTCGTATCAGGGTATGGCTCAGAAGGTACTTAATCTAAATCCAAAGAAAGCTGTAGAAAACTCACAAATTTTGAAAATAATTTCAACCTTGGTTTAGCCCTAATTTAGATTATTTTTGTTCCAGATCTGGGTAAAGTCATTGATAAAAAAATAATTTTGGATTGCACACGTGGGGGGGAAAGCATATATGAAGACAGTCCTTATATTAGTGAACTGTTGATTTTAATTCAGAAACCTCATGTTCATTAACACAATTTGAGCTAGATATAGGATCCTGGAGCATCCTATCATCGGTCCTTTCCAGGGGTGGGCTCCTGGGGGTTCAGCAGGGTTTGGGCGATCCTCTAGCCAAGGATCGCCGGGGTTTGGTGAACCCCCAAATGCCACCCCTGGCTGGCCACACCTGCCCCACCCCGCCCCTCCCAGGAGTCTCCACACAGCCCCTTCATCATTCCAGATAAGTGCAGAGGCCTCACGGAGGGTTTGGAAGGGCAAAAACAGGCCTACCAGAGGTTACAGAAGTTCGGAAATGGACCTGTTTCCAGCCTCCGGAGGGCCTCCGGACCCCGGGGGAAGCTGTTTTTGTCCTCCTGGAGGCTCAAGGAAAGCCTCCGGAGCCTGGGGAGGGCAAAAAACGGGCCTCCTGGAAGTTCCAGAAGTCTGGAAACGGGCCTCTTTCTGGCCTCCGGACCCCGGGGAAAGCAGTTTTCGCCCTCCCAGAGGCTCAAGGAAAGCCTCTGAAGCCTGGGGAGGGCAAAACCCACCCTCCCACCATGGTGCAGGAGGTCAACTAGGCCACGCCCACCCAGCAACAAGGCAGCGAACCCATTGCTAAAGGATCTGAAGCCCACCCCTAGTCCTTTCCAATTAGCACACAGAGAAAACAAAACTCTTTTGCTCACATCATAAGTCTATGATGTTGCATTCATACATACCTAGTAATGTATCTTCTGGATGAAGATCAGTTGTAGCAGGGGACATCGGAGCATTGATAGCATTTTTACCTTCTTCTTGCAGATCAGACACTGAAAGAATGGAAAAATCCAAAATATTTGTTAATTATATATAGCTTAAAATTAGATTTATTTCTACTTGGAGACAAATGCTTCATAGATTGTGTTTCTCTTTGCTTGGATTGAATGGACTGACTGCAGTTACGCTAAACACCTCCACTTTCTAGAGTAACTGTTTATTTTATTTATTTATTTTTATTTATTTAATTTATATACCACCCTACTCCCGAAGGACTCAGGGCGGTGAACAGCCGAACAGTAAAAACACATAAATACAAAATTTAAAAACAAAGTAAAATCGAATTAAACAAATTTGGCCCAAGACATATTAAAACCCCAATCATTTAAAACCAATTTCAAATTTGCGTAATTAAAAAGAGGGAAAAAATTAGGCCAGGCCCGCCTGGTGGAATAAAACGGTCTTAAGAGCGCGGCAGAAGGTGCGCAGATCCGGGATCCTCCGTATCTCCGGGGGGAGCTCGTTCCAGATAGTACGTGCCCCCACAGAGAAAGCTCTCCCCCTAGGGGCCGCCAGTCGACATTGTTTGGCCGACGGCACCCGGAGGAGCCCCTCTCTATGAGAGCATACCGGCCGGTGGGAGGCTATTGGTGGTAGTAGGCGGTCCCGTAAATAACCAGGTCCTAAGCCATGTAAACCAATAAACTGTTTATTACAGTCCACAACTATTCTGCAAATTTTGAAGGTTTTTTCCCCCCATTTTTATTTTACCTCTTTTCATTCTTCCTCAAGTGGCTGTGGTTAATTCTGATAATATATTGGAAGGGTAAATCAAACGTAAATCATTGTGCTCTCATCTTATGGAAAGACTTGAGCATTTCTAGAACAGAATTCTTTATTGGCCAAGTATGATTGGACACACAAGGAATTTGTCTCCAGCGCTTAAGCTCTCAGCGTACATACAAATAAGTGATAAATCATGATCATAACCATAAAATGATAGTTATAAATCATAACGTACAACACCCAGTGATCGACATAGGATACTAAATAAGCATACTACTTTCAAGTCACGTAAAATTCTTAGTATCTTTACAACCTTGAAACAAGAGCAACATTCAAACTGCAAACTAAGCATGTAAGTGGGCACAGGGGTCAAATCCAGCAGGTTCTGGAGAACCAGTAGCAGAAACTTTGAGTAGTTCGGAGAACCGGCAAATGCCACCTCTGGCTGGCCCCAGAGTGAAGAAGGAATGGGGATTTTGCAGTATCCTTCCCCTGGAGTGGGGTGGGAATGGAGATTTTGTAGTATCCTTCCGCTGCCACACCCAAGCCACGCCCACCAAGCCACATCACGCCCACCAAGCCACACCCACAGAACCGGTAGTAAAAAAAAATGGATTTCACCACTGCGTGGGCAGCATACAAAAGGGGTGTATTAAGCAATCTGCTTTATTCCTCCAAATATTCACCAGGCTCAAGGTTGACTCAGCCTTCCATCCTTTCAAAGTTAGGTAAAATGAGGACCCAAATTGTGGGGGCAATAAGCTGACGGTATAAATATACAAAAGTATGAATGCTATTGCTTAACGCATTGTCTCCGGAGAAGGGCGGCATATAAATTAAAGCAAAAAAAAAAAATTATTAAAACAATATTTCTTTTAATTTCATGTATCTTCCTCTGTTCTTACTGAAACACAATGGAAGAACAAGCCACGGCAGTCTTTAATGTTGCTACTCAATCAATTGAAAGAGCAAAAGACTATTACAATATAGGTTTCCCCAATGCTGAATGACTGAGAACTGTAATTAGTAAAAACAGAAGTGAAGCAGCCATACTGCATATGCCAAAGAAAAGCCTCCCAGAAATTAGGACCCAATTATTATTAAACAGACGGTTTTGTAGCAACTCTTCAAAACGTGAGCCAGTTTCAAATTGGGGCTGCAGATGAAGCATTTCTGGATTCTTTAAGAATAAGTCAATCCTGTTGGTTGCATCAGCCTTTTGACTTAAACGTAAAGGTAAAGGTTCCCTTCGCACATATGTGCTAGTCGTTCTTGTCTCTAGGGGGCGGTGCTCATCTCCGTTTCGAAGCCGAAGAGCCAGCGCTGTCTGAAGACGTCTCCGTGGTCATGTGGTCAGCATGACTAAATGCCAAAGGCGCACGGAACTCTGTTACCTTCCCACCAAAGGTGGTCCCTATTTTTTCTACTTGCATTTTTTACGTGCTTTCGAACTGCTAGGTTGGCAGAAGCTGGGACAAGTAACGGGAGCTCAGCATCTTAGCCACTGAGCCACCGCATCCCTTTCGACTTACTCAGTCTTAAAACAGATGCCAGATTAAATAAAAAACCAGAGGCCTTGAATAAAACGAATCTTTTTGCCGTTTGCTAAAGCAACAACTATTGTGTTCTGGACAATAAAAGTGCACGGAAGGAGGCCAAGTCTCAAAAACTGAAAACACCAGAACAAAGATGGACTGTTCTCCTCCATCCTGCTTGGATCCTTTTGACTCCACTGCTACCATCTCCAGGTCTTTTCTTCAGAAAGAGTCACTTCTCTGCTTTGAATGATGTTACTCTGGCTTTGTTCTCTGGCTGGATTCTGAATCAGAGACATCCATTGGTGGAGGGGAGATCGAAAAAGGCAGCGTTTTGGCCAAAATTCATATAAAAAAGAGGTGACGCTTCAATCACACAGTGGCAGCTGTCATAGATAGATAGATAGATAGATAGATAGATAGATAGATAGATAGATGGATGGATGGATGGATGGATGGAGGGAGGGAGGGAGGGAGGGAGGGAGGGAGGGAGGGAGAGAGAGAGAGAGAGAGAGAGAGAGAGAGAGAGAGAGAGAGAGAAGGAGGGAGAGGGAGAGAGATGGAATGTCAGGGTTCCAAGTAACATCCCCAATGAAATCAAACTCCAAGGCTTGAAGTTCCTCAAAGCTAACTTTTATTAGAGATGTCACATTGGCACATCTGGGAAAACCCGAATCTGAGAGCTTCCAGGTTTTCCACACCCAAAAGGAAGTTGAAGACCTTGCCCCTCGCCCACATGTTCACCATATGGCAAAACAGTTACCCTCCGAAACAGAAGATACCTCCTCATTCTTCTCAGCACAGCTGCAGGGCACAACGGCCTTGACTTTCTAGAAAGAATTTTATTTTGACTACATATCCTCTTCACGCTATACAATCCCCCCTCCCATTTTCCCACAGTAGAATTTGTGGCAGGCCTGAAGCCTGAACGCACAAAGGTAGAAAGATGGCTTCCAGGTCTGACATAGAGATAGAGATAGAGAAGGAGATAGAGACAGAGATAGAGATAGAGATAGAGATAGAGATAGAGATGATAGAGATAGAGATAGATTTTTCACCTCAACCCAAGTGCCCCTGGTTTACTCTCCCAATTTTACTGTAGTACTTACCAGAGATTTCCTTTCCAACCAATTATGTAGGCTTAATTTGTTGTGTAGACACCTTCTCCAACTGAGCACCCTTCAGATCATTTAGGCTAGTGTTTCTCAATCTTGACAACTTTAAGAAGTGTGGGACTTCAACTCCCAGAATTCCCTGGGCTGAGGAATTCTAGGAGTTGAAGTCCACACAACTTAAAAATTGCCCAAGTTGAGAAATATTGACTTAGACTATAATATCACACCCTGTATAGTGAGATGGGGATAACAGGAACTGTGGTCCAAGACTTTTGAATGACCTGATATTACAAAAAAAATCACACCTTCATTTGCTAATAATGCTTTTTGTGAGTAAAAAAACAACAACAGTGATAAGATTCTCTGCATCAAATCACAGTTCCAGCTACAACTTAAAAACGGCCAACTATATTCCACCTTGCTATAACAGTGCATCATTATACCGTGTTTTCCCGAAAATAAGACCCTGTCTTATATTTTTTTGGATCCTGAAATAAGCACTTGGCCTTATTTTCAGGGAGGTCTTATTATTTTGGGGCACGTGGAGCATGACGGGGTTCCTCTTGCCATCTTACCTGATTTCCAGCTGTCTCCCTAACAGTAACCAGAGGAAATGGCGGGGACCAGCTGCACATGCGGTTAAATATTTTCAGGGAGGGCTTATTTTCAGGGAGGGCTTATTTTTAGGGAGGGCTTATTTTAGCGCGCATGCGCTCAAAAGCCCAATTGGGCTTATTATCTGGGGAGGTCTTATTTTCGGGGAAACACTGTATCACTTCAAATGATGGTCAACACCTCTTATCATGACACATTTTTCAGCCAATTGTTGAAAAGGTGAAAATCCTTTCAGCTTTTCCCTCCTAACTCAAGCCAGAGCCTGTAGTACAGTGGACTAAAGCACTGTTATTATCATTTGCTGCTTGCAATTACTGCAAATTCAAATCTCACCAAGGCTCAAGGTTGACTCAGCCTTCCATCCTTTCAAAGGTAGGTGAAATGAGGACCCAGATTGTGGGGCAATAAGCTGACTTTGTATAAATATACAAAAGTATGAAGGCTATTGCTTAATGCATTGTAAGCCGCCCTGAGTCTCCGGAGAAGGGCGGCATATAAATTAAAGCAAAAAAAAAAAAAAAAGTCTCTGCACGATATAAACAGCAGCACCCACCCAGTATTTCCCAATGCAATCCCCATGCTCAGAAGCTGAATCAAGAATGTGGAACTAAAAATAAATCACAACACAAAGCTATCCTCTTCTTGTTACTGTCCTAGAGCGAGCTGGGGGGGGGCAGAGAAATGCAAGCGTGCTTTCTCCGCACAACCCATTTGCACGTTTGCCCACTATGGCAAAGATCAGGCTTCATGCTACCAGAGAAAGGCCCAGGTGTCTGCAAGATCTCCCTCATGCAGCTAACCCACACAGCAGGCATTCACTCATATTTTTTTTCTTACCTCTTGTTTTCATGCATTTTTTACAAAGCTGAGGTGCCATACTAGCACCCTGGAGCATTAAGGTTGCCTCCTACCGAAAAGCAGAGTTGCCGGTCCAAAGGAGGTGAGGAGCGTGACAGAAACTGACTGGCCAACTTGGTTTGACTTGGTCACAAGTGATTCCAG